AAGATGGAGATGAAAATGCACTACCCCACCCCTGCAACACATCACAGAACCAGATGGGAGGAAGATGGTAACAAACCATTCGACAGCATGGCAGAGGAGGAGAGGGGCCATCGGGACATTTCAAAATGCCCCATGGTGTTTTTCTTTTAAAATTAACTTTCTCTTTTTTTTTAAATAAAGATTTTATTTATTTATTTGACAGAGAGAGAGAGAAAAAGAGCACAAGCAGGGGGAGAGGCAGAGGGAGAAGCAGGCTCTGCACTGAGCAGGGAGCCCGACGCAGGGCTCGATCCCAGGACCCTGGGACCATGACCCAAGCTGAAGGCAGATGCTTAACCGACTGAGCCACCAGGTGTCCCAATAAAATTAACTTTATCAAGGGGTGATTTACATAAAACAAAACGACGTTTTAAGTAACAGTTTGTGAATTTTGGCAATTATATATGCACATGCAATCCCCACCACAGTCAAGATGTACACTATTTCTGCCCCCCTCAGAACATTTCCCTGTGCCCCTTTCTAGATAATCCCTTCCACCTCTAACCTCAGGCAACCGCTGATCAGCTTCCTATCACTACAGATTTGTTCTGCTTTTTTTTTGTATTTCATGTCAATAGAATCAAACTTTTTTTTTTTTTAAATTTGGCTTCTTTCATTCAGCATAGTATTTCAGTGATTCATCTACATTGTTGCACATGTCCAGTTTGCTTCTTTTCATTGCTGAGTCTTATTCCATTGTGCGAATACACCATAATTTGAATACACTGTTTCATAGTCACTTTGGTTGTTTCCAGGTTTGGCCAATTATGAATACAGCAGCTGTGCCTATTCTTGCCTAAGTCTTTTTGTGGACATAGTTCTCATGGGTAAATACCTAGGAATGGAATTGCTGAGTCATATGATAAGTGTATGTTTAACTTTATAAATAATTATACCATTTTACAGTCCCACCAGCAATGAATGAGAATTCCAGAGTCTCCATGACCTGGTTAACACTTGGTACCACCAATCTTTTTAATTTTAGCCTTTTTGGTGAGGCCTCTCATTGTGGTTTTAACTAGAAAAATATGTACCTTGTTCCTGTCAAGCGTGGAGGCGTAATCCTCACTCTTATAGGGTCAGTGTTCTTTGGTACTAAGGGCCAACTTACTTTCAGAGAAGGAAGCCATTTCTCAAGGATGACTAATTGTCTTTGAGATACAACAAGGTAGAGTTTTCATTATAAGTTAAAATGATCGGAGGCCATACTGTTCATGTTTCTCAATATTGCAATGACCAAAGTCAGGTCATGGAAACTCTTTGAGTCCCCATCCCCCTGCTGTTTCTCTTTCTAGTATCTTTCCATGTTATCACCATCCTTAAACAATAGCTTTGGGAAGGCCTGAGTCAGTCTCTCAAGTGGACTCTCAAATTTTCCTTTTTCTACCCCTCCTTTTATTTTTAAAAGATTTATTTACTTGGGGTGGGGAGGGAGAGGGAGCTTGAGTACGTGGGAGGGAGGGGCAGAGGGAGAGGTAGAGAGAGAATCTCAAGCAGATTCCCTGCTGAGCGTGGAGCCCGACTTAGGGCTCGATCTCAGGACCTGCAATCATGACCTGAGCCGAAACCAAGAGTTGGATGCTTAACTGACTGTGCCGCCCAAGGTGCCCCCCTTTTCTACCTTCTATTGCTAAATAGTACTAACATTGACTTATAACATCATTATTGTCATCTCCTTAGAGCCTTGTGGCGACTATTAGAGAAAGTAAATCAGAACCAAGTTGTTACACGTTTGCTTGAAAGCCATGTGCCAGGATGTCCTGTGCACTGGTTAGGATGCATGCTATTGCAAGTAACAAGAATTAGTTTAGGCAAAGTGAGTATAATTGCTCATGTCATGGCAAAGCCCAGAGTTTGACAGCATGGATTCAGTGGCCCAATGATGTAACCATGAAGTTTCTTTCCATCCCTTTGCTCTTCCTTCCAGTCATCTTCATCCCACGACTGGCTCTCCCTCGTGGTCACAGAATATTTACCAACAACTTCCCACCTACTCATTACCTCAGAACTCCACAACAGGCAAGCCCTGAGTCACATGCCCATCCCTGAACCAATCAGTGTGGCCAGGGAGGTGGAATTAGCTTAGAGCCACAGGCCCCCATCCAAGTGCAGTCAGCTTCCCCCATGAAGCTGAGGCGTAAGAGGGAGGCTGTTTATTAAATAAAAACTAAGACAACAAGAGGAGGGAGAAGAGATGTGGGCCAGGCAGCGACAAGCTCCTCTACTTTCTTCCTTCCTGGATTTAGTTATTCTGAATATTCTAGGGAAAAAAACCTCTGTCATTGACATTCAAGTTTTCTCAAAACATACCTTCCAAATGCAATGTCTCTTCAGTCAACAACTATGTCAGCCACCTTCCTGAGTTTCTGAAATCATCACCTGTGTTGCCAAGCATTTTCCCTCAAGCCCGGTCTTCTTCTGTAGAGCAAACACCTAAGTTCACCCACCGCCCAACTGGTAACCAGACTTATTCTGATCTCGCCCATTACTCTCAGTCAGCCACATGGGGATGGTCACCCTACTTGCCTCCACAGCCATCTGCTTGAACCCCACACTTGGCAGCAGCATGCTGCCAGGACTTCCACGTAAGGCCAAGTGAACAAACGCTCCTTAGGTTGTCGTCTTACAGGGTGTGTGTTTGCTCATGCGCCCCAGCTTTATATGCCCGAATTATTTTTTCCTGTGAAAAACCCATCTTCTCCATTAAAATAATAATTGTCTAGGGGATAGAAATACAAACTTTAAATTGATTTTCTACCTGGGCCTGTATCTTCAGTTAGTGTTTTTAAATGTCCATGCTCTATGCAGAGAGCACTTTATGTACTTAAACCTTTTTGTGGGCTGATAGCCTGAAGGGATTTTTCTGTGAAACCAGTGACTTTTAAATGTACAAAAATAATTGATATTGAACAGTCTTGTCTCTAGGTTTTCTTATAGCTTTCAAATATTGGCTAAATATTTATCCTTTGGGGCTGTGAGTTGGACCTTGCAATGGAGAGAGATTAATTGCCTAAAGTGTGTCATTGATTGGCCATAAGTGGGTAAATACATCAAACTCAAAACCCACCAAGCTCCACCAAAAAGGACGTGATGGTCTGGGGAGGGCAGATGGTGAGCACAGATACCAGAGAACAGTTTAACACGTTGTATACTATCCTTGTACTAATATTCTTCAAACCCCAGAAACCTATTCTTTTTGTTATGTTGGGTGAAGCGCATGTGGCTGTTTGTTTTTCTTTCTTAGGAGAAAAACTGAAGCAGTTCAAAATTTACAGCTTTATCTGAACAAGAGAATCATTTTGTTGTCTAAAAACCCACACTTAAAAATTCATGAACAAAGTCAGTATTCAAAAGAGGAAATAAGAATTTCCTTTCAGTTAAAAAATTATGTTTTTCTGGGCTTTGTTTTGTTTTGTTGGCAAACTCTCAGGATAACAAAAATGGTCAAGCTCCGAGAAACCACACATACAAACAACAAATACTCCTGCATGGACACAAATGAGTACTGTTCTCTTGAAACCGATCTCTCTGGTTCTACTGGTTCAAAAAAGACCTATCGTTGTAGTCTTTTTGGAGAATATTTCAAAGTGGTTTATGGAACTTTTCGCTGTAGAAGTCACTTCCTATAAATGGGGCCATGATTATAGAAATCACACACACACACACACACACACACATACACGCACACACACCCCACAGGGGGTGGGGAGGACATAAAACAGGCTTCTTTCTTGACAGCTGTTTCCAGAACAGACCCATCTGGAGGTTACAGTTTTTCTGCCTTGTGTGGAGCTTTGGTTGCAATACAAAGTGCTTAAAACACCCACCGAGTACATGGAAGATGAATATGCCTCTGTGAGTGAGAGAGAGAGATGAACAGAGAGGCAGAGCACACAAATTCTGACTAGTGATTTCAGCTTGTCTTGCAAAATCGGCGAGTCGGAGGCTGTCCTAGTGATGGCTAGGGAGGCAGCTTCCCTCGGATTGCAGCCCTGATCATCTGCACGTTGGACTCAGACTGGCCTCCTGTACCCCCAACACCCACCCACTCCCACACACTGGGTCTCTACACTCACCTTATTCTGGTGCCGCCCCTCCCCACTACCTATTTGGATCCAGAACTGTGGATGGGTCTGTGGTGGGTGTTAGACGCCGAAGAAACCCTCCTATGTAGAGGTAAACAGAACTTGGGTAAGAACTTACAGTTAAGCAAGAAGACCTACCAAACAATTAGCAGCAGTAAGAAAGAGCATTGCTCGCGCGAGAGTGGAGGCCACAGGAGTTATGCCCCCAGAGTACGCAACTAAGACTTTTCACTGTCGTCAACTACACTCATGTTTCTGTGGTTTTTTGTTTTTCAAAAGAAGCCAACGTTGAAAAATCACCCAAGATGCACTGCCGTACCAGCAAGAACCATACTGCCTCAACACACTTCCTCTAAATACACATCTGCCTGGCTGCCTGGGGTTCTTCCCACCATCTGATGGTATCTCATAACAGGGCCACAAAATATTAGTTCTGGAGTCTGGAGACGTGGGGTCAGGTGGTTTCCACAAAGTACAGTACACGCATCACTGTGGTCAGCAAGTATCTTAAGGTACACGCAAGTATTTATCGGTTTAATGGTTATGCACTTATTTTAATATGTATTAGGAAAAAATTGCCACACAGCACATCAGTCTGGGCACTCAGCACCATCACTTAGGTTATTACCGAACTGCAAGGCCAGTGTCTCATTACATGCTTTCTGGGTCAACTGGTTAGCATGTGAGAACCATGGCCACTGATGATCCCCAGTCTCGGGGAGAAGGGTCTCTCCTACTACCCTGGCCTGGTGGCTGTGGACAAGGGTGTCTGGGCAATACTACAATTGGGCAGCCTTGTGAGGATGAAGATTTACCCACAGCACCCAACCTTGGGCTTTGGCAGTAGGTCTCCTTTCTCAAATCAGACACCTTACCCAAGATTTTGAAACATTTAATCAGAAAAGAATCTGGCATTTTAAAAAGTTAGGTTTACAAACTCGACACCGTCTTAACATTAGCAATTTATCTATTTATACATTGTCTAAGAAAACAAGGTCCATGAAGACATCAACAAGATATTTAAGAGTTCCTTATAAGCTACAACAATTTGCAAGTAAGTATCCAGTTTAACTGTAACAAACCACTGTGAGCAAATTTAACTAAGTATATAAAAACATTAGTTAAATATAATTCTCTGGAAATATACATTATACCTACAGTTTGTTGTTGCTGTTTTTTTACAGTGAGATTCTTCCTGCTTTCTCCTGTTTAATTCTCAAAATGGCAAATCACTGTATGGTCCTGGATCTCCAAGCTACAAAACTGAAATATGTGTTTCCAGCATAGCAGATGGTGACCAAAAAGGCGAAGAACTGGAGAAAACAGAGGATAATAGAAAGAGGGCTTAGGGCACATTCTAATTAGCAAAAGTTATCATTTCACCTCCATTGAATCAGGTACTCATAGCATCCCTTGACTCCAGGCTTTCTCATCTAAAATTGCTTTATTGGTTCAATTACCTTCCTTCTGAAATGATCTCTGGCTATGCTGGTTGTTTGGGGGTTTTGTTTTGTTTTTTGTTTTTCTTTTTGCAACATATCTGGAAAGCTTGTAGTTTTGCTCAAATAACCACATGGTGTTCACTTCAGGGTGAGTATGGTGGTGTGTATCTGAGAAAAGCACATGTATTCCTAATTTAGTATAGACAATTTTAGACCAGGGCTTAACCTCAGATTGCCATAGGGTCAGTTACATAAAGGAGTTGAGTGGGTGGGAGGAAGCAATGAACCCACAGGGTGCGAATGGTGAGCAGGGAAAAAGCAGGCGCCTCTGAAGGGGCAGCCAATGCCCAGGTCTGGCTGATTCTTGCTGTATGATAGCTTGAGCTTAGTGCTGCTAAAGCTTGTGATTAAAAAAAAAAAAAAAAAAAAAAATTTTTTTTTTTTTTAAGTAGGCTTCATGCCCAGCATAGAGCTCAATGTGGGGCTGAACTCACGACCCTGAGATCAAGACCTGAGCTGAGATCAAGTCAGACACTTAACTGACTGAACCATGAGAGCACCATGCTCTCTACCTTTAAATAGAGATTTTTGAATATAAATATCAGAATATAAGAAATAGGGGAGGGGGGTGCCTGGGTGGCTCAGTCGGTTGATCAAGTGTCCAACTCTTGATCTCGGCTTGGGGTCGTGAGTTCAAGACTCATGTTGGGCTCCACACTGGGCATGGTGCCCACTTTAAAAAAATATATAGATAATGAACGGCTGTGTATCATCAATCGGTTTTAACATGATCATTTTGGTATTCCTGTTTAACTGACCCCAAACCCCCCCACCAATTACTTCTTTTGGGAATGGAATATTTTAAGGCCAATCTCAGAGGAACTTCTAAAATTAGTTTTTAAAATCAGAACTACAATACCCATTAATGGTTTAAATATGCAAATAGTATGGAAGCACATAAATTAAAAAGCAGAAGCCCCTCAGGCTGCTCCCTTCATCATCCAACCACAGTCTCTGGAAGGAACCTCTGTTCATGTATGCTTTCCCAGGCACTCCCATCGCATAAACAAACATCTCCACTTCTTAAGTAAAAATAGAATCATAGTGTGCTCATTTTTTTTTTTTTTTTTTGCAGCTGTCTCCCCACTTGAACTGTAGTCAGTAGAATTATTCTTAGAGTGCCTCAAATATTTTTTCTTCCTCAAATACTTATTTTGTTCCAGCTATTTGGCTTTCACTCAAGCTGGGTCTTTTTTTTTTTAAGATTTTATTTATTTTTTTGACAGAGAGAGACACAGAGAGAGAGGAAACACAAGCAGGGGGAGTGGGAGAGGCAGAGAGAAAAGCAGGCTTCCCGCTGAGCAGGGAGCCCGATGCAGGGCTTGATCCCAGGACACCGGGATCATGACCTGAGCCGAAGGCAGACGCTTAATGACTGAGCCACTCAGGCACCCCAAGCTGGGTCTTTTAACCTCTGTGCACTTCAGGCCATCAGGAGGCCCCAGTAATTTTTGATGCTTTTTTTTTTTTTAAAGATTTTATTTATTTATTTGACAGAGAGAGAGATAGAGAGAGCAGGAACACAAGCAGGGGGAGTGGGAGAGGGAGAAGCAGGCTTCCCGCCGAGCAGGGAGCCCGATGCAGGGCTCGATCCCAGGACCCTGGGATCATGACCTGAGCTGAAGGCAGCCGCTTAACGACTGAGCCACCCAGGCGCCCAATTTTTGATGCTTTTAACCAACAAGTTAATTGCCAGTGTCTCGAGCGCAGGTGAGGCTTTCCCGCCCCTACAGATAACTTGGGTCTTCCTCCTGGACCCCCAGCCCCACCGGGAGGAGGAGACCGTGACCCTGACCATGCAGGAAGGGGGTGGGGCAGGTGAAAGGGCTTGCTCACTCACCGATGAGGCTGCCCAGCTGTTGAAATTGTGGCTGTCTCTCTCGGGGGAGACAGAAGACGCATCCACCACAGCGGCTGAGAGGTATAAGACGAAGGCGCTGCCATTAAAACACAGACCCTGGGGGAGATAGAAGGGTGGAGTGGTCAGGGAGCGTGGAAGGTCTGGGCACCTCTGGATCTCTGTAGTGGCCAGAACTGCATGCCAGGTGTGGTAAGGGGTGCATCGGACACTTGGAGGGGGCAGGGATGAGGGCTCTGAGAGGCAGCTCAGCAGTGCCTCCAGGAGGAGGGGGCTTCCTAACAACTTTTTTTTTTTTTTAAGATTTTATTTATTTATTTGACAGAGAGAGACACAGCGAGAGAGGGAACACAAGCAGGAGGAGTGGGAGAGGGAGAAGCAGGCTTCCCACTGAGCAGGGAGCCCAATGCGGGACTTGATCCCAGGACCCTGGGATCATGACCCTGAGCCGAAGGCAGACGCTTAACGACTGAGCCACCCAGATGCCCCAACTTCCTACCAACTTTTACACAGCACACCCAGACACCCCTCACCTGCCCCCAAGACACCCAGGCTGCCTTGCTTGTCCCTTCGGCCACCTCTTTCTCTCACTTTGCTCTTGATCCTTGCTTCATCCCAATTTCAGCCTTGGTGACCTACTGGCTGAGGAAGGCAGGCAGCTGGAGTTCCCCAACGAGATCTGCCCAGACTGTGGCCCCAGCAGCCACAGCCTTTCGGCACCTGTCCCTGACCCAGAGCTGCGAGATAGCTCTTCCCAAAGCAGGCCCAGCTGATCTATTCCCCAGGCTAAGCGGGGGGGAGGGAGGGGGGGGAGACGACATTTAGGTGAACTCCTCAATCCTAGCAGCAAGTTCTTAAAAATGAAACTAAGATTATACATATTAACAGAACCCTTTCGGAACTAACCTCACTCCTGGCTTCATCTTATTTTTTCCTATTCTTAGAGAAGAGAGAGGTGTAAATCCAGTAGATATTTGGTTTCCAGTTATACTTAAACTCTAGGAAATCAAACTGTGAAATGTGCCAAACTTCACCCCCGTCTGAACAAGGGTGAGAGGTGGGGATGGGGTGGGGCAAAACTGATGCAGAAAACCAATGCTTATACAGGTAGGAAGAGGGTGGCTCTCAGGAGTAGGCCCTCCATGGTCTTACAGCTCTCCCTCAGTCATTCAGAGAGACGGGAATGGGTAGGGGTAGGGGGGAAGCAGTATCTTTTTCTTCTAGGAGAAAGGCACATAGAATTTTCCAGATGCAGGTCCTTCGGAGGTGGGTTGTGTATCCCTCTTACCACCTCCACACTTCACTTATATTGTTCTGGGTTAAGGAGATTAAACTTTATGATAAGGGTCAGCCCCAGGATTCAGGCTGCCCAGGATGCTCATCTGCCATTAGAAATGTGTCCCCTGGGGTGCCTGGGTGGCTCAGTTGGTTAAGTGTCTGACTCTTGATTTCGACTCAGGTCATGATCTTAGGGTCCAGGGATCAAGCCCTGCATTGGGCTCCCCACTCAGCAGGGAGTCCGCTTGAGATTCTCTCTTCCTCTGCCCCTCCCCCTCACTTTCTCTCTCCCTAATAAATAAGTCTTAAAAAAAGAAATGTGTCCCCAGGAAGTCCTGGTTTCCCTGGTGATTCATTATGTTTGCTGGTTGTGGGGGTTTTTGGTCCAGGAACACATCTGTGCATTTTTTAAAAAATCTAGTTTTTTTTTTTTCATTTCACATTACCTCTAGAGATTTGCACATTTGCTATTTGCCAAGTAAAGGACTTCCTACTTTTTTTTTTTTTTTTAAATGCTGAAACAGTTCAATGTAGTTACCTCTGAGGGGTGTGAGACTTTAGTTTTCGTTTTGTGGCCTTTTACAGGTAGTGGTATTTATTTAATAAATTAGCCATGTAGTACATTTGAAACATTAAAATGCTTAAGAAAAAAATTAAAAAGTAATGCATGTCCATGGTAACCAAACAAAATCCCGTCTGGAGAGAACAATCTGGAGTAAAAAGTCAGTCTACTCCTTTCACCTCAACCCTTTCCTTTGAGATATAAGCCACCACCCAATCTTATACAAACAGAGCCATATAGTCAGGCATCTCAGTGGGGGTTTTTCTGTTTTGTTCGGATTTTTTTCTTCATTGAGAACGATACCAAGGGCAATTTTACTTGTCAGTCCAAACAGATGGACCTCATTTCTTGTCATGACACAAATACCTCAGAATTTAACTCTTCCCCTGTTGATGGGCATTTGATGTTCCTAGCTTTCTCGGGATTACCAACACTGCTGTGAGGAATGTCTTTAAACATGTATTTGGGGGCACCCATGCATGTCCAGTCCCCATACAAGGAGAGAGATGAATGAGAGAGCTTCCGGGAGGCCAGCCCTGCCAGGACCACCCTGACACAGGCCCTTGTCCCCTCTGCCGTGTGGGTGAAGGGCTGGAGAGGGAGTGGGGACACGACTCCATACTAAGTGTGGCCCAATCCATTTTCCCAAGGAAATGAGAAATTCTGTTTCCCTTGGAGGGAAGCCGGGAAGGGCTTCCTTCCCCCACACACCACCCCAAGGGCTCCCGACGGATTCTCACAGCCTCTATTTTGCTACCTCAGAGCCCAACCTACTGGCTCCCCCATCTTCCTAGGACTCCCAAAGTAAGTATGTCTGAGGGATGCCTGGAGTGGGAACCTAGTGAAAACAGGTGGAGAGAGGAAAGAAAAAATAAGGGCAAAGAACCCGGATCTGAGATTGTTATAGAGGTTAAAAAAAGAGATCTGTGTGGCTACAGAAGGGAAGGAGGGCAACGGCGAAGCTTCAGCAGGCTCTAGAATAGCACTGAGCTTCACGGAAACACAGATTGTACTGCTCTTGAGAAATAGGACCCAAGTCCGAGACTGTTCAAGCTGAACGATCAGGGAGCCCCTCCAACTCCCATGCCAGTTCTCAAGCCACCCCTGGGCCCCAGGCAACAGAGAACAAATACAGTGTCTTACAAAAGGTTTCCAACTGTTCCTTTTTGGGAGAAGGTGGAGGGAGGCTATTCTTTTCTGAAATTCGATCCCTCTTTGGTATAAAATGTCCTTTCCCCCAAATAAAGGCACCCATAGATAAAACCCTCAAGCAGCTAGCCCCCTTGTTGACCCTCCACACTGTATTATTGGTATCCACAACTGACCAAACCTAACTGCTAAGAACATCTCATCCCTTCCCAGTAGAGGGGAGGTAGGTTTTTTCAGTTTCAGAGAATTCCTGAAGGTTAGAACCAGGGCACTCGTGTCCCCTGAGAGCCAAGCAGACTCCAGGGTGGACAACTGTGGTTGGCATCCGGGGACCTGCATCCCATTCCTATCAAAATCCTCTCAGCATCTCAGTTTCTTTACCTGCCAAACGGAAATAATCCATTCCCTCTTTGCAGTTAGTGTGAGGTGAAATGTTGTAAGATATGAAGGACCCAGCCCGACCTCTGGCACACAGGTGTTTCACAAATGGTAGCTGATGTTGTCAACGGAAGGAGGCCTCACCCTCCACCCTCCGCCCTGTGCCCAGTACTGCTCAGAGTGCTTGCAATGAAGCCAACAGGGATGAGCTGCAGAGGACAGATCCTCAGAAAAAGCTTTTGTGGAGGTCCTGGTGCTTAGTGCTCTGAGGACAGACTGTATTGCTTTGAAGTTTTAGCTCAGATCAGATTTGTCAGAAAGCATTCATTGCAGCCTCTCTGGGTAAATGATATTGCCCAGGAGCTTAGAGGTGCTCGCGGGAACCTGCTGTGGTTCCGCTCCATGTTAAGGATGGACATAGTAACTCTGCACCTGTATTCTCCTCAGATGCAATAGGAAAAATGCCTATTGTCAAGCCAAGTCCAGTGCAAAGCTCATGCCTTGTCAAGCAAAGAGCTAAAGGCAAAACATATGAGACTCTGCTTTTTGTAGTGTTCCATGGGCGGTCTCCCAGCCAAACTCCCAGGGGACTAAAATCAGGTCTACTGCTCCCTTTTCTTTAATCTTAGATTTCTCAAATGCTCTGACAACCAAATGTAAACCCCAAAGTCATTAGGCAGCAAAAACTGGCTTGCACTGACACAGGGGCAATGCAGTCTTTAGCATCCCTCTTAGCAGGAAAAATGCATGTGTTCTTGCAGAAATATTAACATGTCTGATTACAGTGTTGCCCCAGACTCAGAGGGAGGGGTCACCTTATGTAATAAATGCACCAGATTACTTCTTTCTAAAATTTGAAAAAAAATTGTGATTGCAAACATATCTAGCCTAGAGGTTCCAGGGAGGGGGTGTGGACCTATAATTATCTGTAAACCAGTGTTTCCTACACTTCAGGTGCCTAAGAATTATCTGGAAAGCTTATAATAGAGATTGCCAGATACTCTATAGAGCTTCCGATTCAGTAGGTCTGGGGCAGGACCAAAGATTTCTAAAAAGCTCCCATGTGATGCTGCTGGTCCAGGGACCGCACTTTGAGCAGCAAGATTCTAGAAGGTTCACTCTGGCACCAGAAGCCCATCAGCTGCCTCAGCAGAGTCCTGGGTTGGCCTGACCCTTGCCATGCTCCAGTTAGTGTGGGACATACAGTGAGGGCCAGCATCTGAACCAGTCTGTTTCTGCAAGAGGTTCTGCTGGGCATAGGTAATAAAGATCTGAGACCTTAGCTGTTACACAGGAAAACTTTTCCCCCAGATCCCACTTTGGATATCCAGTTAACACTGCTTACCCCACTCACAAATGCTTTGCGAGGTTTCGCAAAGGGGCTTCGCAGAGCAGGAAATAAAAACCCCCCAACCCGAAGTCAGACATGTTTGACCTGTAGCAGCTGCTGGCTGCAAAAAAGTTTTTAAAATTTGGCTAAAAATATTTTAAAAGTGAAAGAGTTCACACAAAAGCCCAGATTTCTGGATTGCCTTAGGGAGGGAAATAACAGAAAATCTAACAATTCTGAAGAGCACGTTTCCAATTTATTTCTCCGGGAAGTGAAGAATATTCCCCAGTTGATTAAGATGCCCAAAAACTGTGTGTCTGGGTGGCGAGAATTCAACACTCACTGAATTCACGCTCCCTTGCATGACTTGTCTGGTCTTTCCACACGTGTGAGTGTGTAACCTCTAAGGTGGAGGCCGATGGTCTTGCTTGATAAGATGAAGGATTAAGGGGCGCCTGGGTGGCTCAGTCGGTTGGGCATCTGCCTTCGGCTCAGGTCATGATCCCAGGGTCCTGGGATTGAGCCCCACATTGGGCTCCCTGCTTGGGGGAGCCTGCTTCTCCCTCTCTCTCTGCCTGCCACTCCCCCTGCTTGTGCTCTCTTTCCCTCTCTGACAAATAAAATCTTAAAAAAAAAAAAAAAGAGTCTCATGCTCCACTTGATGGAATGAGCACTGGGTGTTATATGCAAAGGATGAATCACTAAATTCTACCCCTGAAACTAATAATATAGTATATGTTAACTAAACTGAATTTAAATAAAGAATGAAAAAATATATAGTTTTTGGAACCCAAGCCACCGGGCAGTAGACCATCCAAGCAGGCTCACGGAGAGGTCATGTGTAGGTATTCTGGCCCTGGCTCTGGCAGAGGTCCCACTGACAGGCAAGTATCACCTGCTAGACGTATGATGATTCCAGCCTCCAACCACCTTCAAGCCAGCCCAGCTGACTGAGGAAGCAGAGATATACTGTCCTGCTGAGCCTTTCCCAAATTACAAATTTATAAGTAAATTAAATGTTACTGCTTAGGAGAAAAAAAAGTCTCATGCTCTACCGACCGAGCTAGAGCATTATTTTAATTTTTTAATATTAAAATTATAATTTTTTTTAAGATTTTTTATTTTTTTTTTTATTTAGACAGAGAGTACAAGCAGGGGGAGCGGCAGGCAGAGGGGGAGGGAGAAGCAGACTCTTCGCTGGGCAGGGAGCCCGTGGGGCTTGATCCCAGGACCCCGGGATCACGACCTGAGCCAAAGGTAGACACTTAACCGTCTGAGCCACCCAGGCACCCCTAAAATTATAATTTTTTATTTTAAATTTTTATTTAAACATTTTATTTTTACATTTTAAAATTTATTTAAAAATTTTAAATTTACATTTTAAATTTTAAGCCACTGGGTGGCTCAGGTGGTTAAGCGGCTGACTCTTGATTTCCGCTCATGTCATGATCTCAAGGCCTTGGGATTGAGCCCCACGGTGGGGAATCTGCTGGAGGATTCTCGCTCTCCCTCTGCCTTTGCCCCTCTCCCCATTCTCTCTCTCTAAAATAAATAAATCAATCTTTATTTTTTTTAATTTTAATGTATTAAAATATCTTTAAATTTTTTAAAATTTAAAATTTTTAATGTAAAAAATCAGTGAAAAGTATTTTAGGCTTAGAGAAGAGAGAGACCAGAGATGATCTGGAACAGAAGTCAGCAAACTATGCACACAGGCCAAATCTGGCCCACAGCCAGTTTTTGGGAATAAAGTTTTACTGGGAAGAGGATCATGTTCATTCATTTGCAAATTGTCTACAGACAATCTCATGCTGCAAGCAGAGTTGAGTAGTTGTGACAGAGTTTGGATAGCCTCCAAAAGAGAAAATACTTACTGTCTGGTCCTGTATAGAGGAAGTTTGCCAAGCCCTGATTCAGACAGCATACCTAGGAATTGAGACTCAGCAGTTGTGGAATGAAAGGTACTGCTCATTCCTACATCTCACCCATTTGCTCTCCTGTGACAGTTTCCAAGTTCTCTTCTTCCAAGTTCACAAGCACTCTGCTCAAGACATCCTTTTAAGACCCCTCTTTTTCTAAAACAGCATTCCTTACATTCCCCCAGGTCCCTTGGACTATATGCCCTCACCTGGTATTCCCATGTGACTGTTACTTTGAGGTGCTCAAGGCTGAGTAAGAGGGAACTGCTCTGCCTGACTGCCTTGAGCTGGGACATCAGTCTTTTTTCCTGCTTTGGGCTTAAACTGAAACATCAGGTGTTCTTGGGTCTCAGGCCTGGTGCCTTTCAGACTAGAACTTAGAGCATCAGGTTCCCTGGTTCTCAGGCCTTTGGACTCAGCCTGGAACTACACCATCAGCGTGCCTGGGTCTCCAGCTTGTGGACAGCAGATCTTGGGACTTCTTAGTTTCCACAGTCATGTGAACCAATCCCTTCCAGTAAATCTCTTTATATATACACACACACATACACATCCTAATGCCTATGCTTCTCTAGAGAACTCTGACTAATCTAGAATTTATATCGAGAGTGGGGTAGACAGATTTTAGAACCAGGAGTGGGGTGGTGCTGTAACAAAGATCTAAAAATATAAAACTGGCTTTGGAACTGGATAATGAGTAAAGGCTGGAGAGTTTTGAGGAGTATACTAGAACTATGGGTGTTGAAGGTGATTCCAGTGAGGACTTAGGAAGAAAAGAGAAGAGGCTAAGACAAAGCTTCCATCTTCTTAGATAACGCATAAATAACCACAGACAGAATCTTAGTAAAAATATGGATGTTAAAGGCCATTGTGGAGAGATCTCAAATGGAAATGGGGAACATGTTTTTGGAAACTGGAGGAAAGGTGATCCTTGTCATAAAGTGGCAGAGAATTTAGCTGAACTGTGTTCTAGTGCTTTGTGGAAGACAGAGCTTGCAAGCAAAAAACTGGATATTTAAATGAGATTTTTTAAGCAAAGTGTTAAAGGAGCGGCTTGGTTCCTCCTGTTTATAGTAAAATGCACAAGGAGAGAGGTGAATTAAAGAAGAAATTGTTAAGCAAAAAGGCAGCAGAACTTGAAGGTTTGGAAAATTCTCAGCCTATCCATATTGCAAAAAAAATAAGAAAACTTGGGGTGCCTGGGTGGCACAGTTGGTTGAGCATCCAAATCTTGGTTTCAGCTCAGGTTGTGACCTTGGGGTCATGGGATCAAGCCCTGTGTTGGGCTGTGCACTCGGCACGGAGTCTGCTTCGGACTCTCTCTCTCCCTCTCCCTCTGTTCCTCCCCCCAACTCTCTCTCTCTCTCTCAAATAAATAAATCTATTAAAAAAAAAAAAGAAAGAAAAAGTTGCTCTGAAGAGAACAGCACAGGTATGGCCAAACAACCATTTGATAAAGAGATCATGGGTGCAAACCACAGATCTAATCATGTGTCAGTAGAAGCCAGGAACAGGTAAGGGATTATACCGGTGAAACGCTGTGAGTTTGAATGAAAAGGGGTGGAGATGGGACAAAATAAAGGAGTGCTGTTGAACTTCTTGGAATCTATATGATAGAACCATAGAGCCATTTGGCTGTGAATACGTGCCAATTTTTAAGAAAAAAGAATGAGTCACCCAAAGGCTCATTCAGAGATCATCAGGCCCTGGGGGCAGGCTGGTTCCTCCTCAGTTTCAAAGGGTAGGCTGCCTCTCTGGTTTCTGTGAGCCTGAATGTGCCCACCCCAGTGCCTCAGGGGCAGGTCACCCTGCAGACGCATAGGGGTGACACTGCCACCCCAGTGGGCCTGGAGGGCAGAGCACTGAACCAAAGAGGCTTATCCTGAAGGCTTAACATCCCATGGAATTTGCCTTGTAAGTTTTGGGCTTGCCTTGGACTCGCCACTCCATCCCTCCTCCCTATTTCTCCCTTTTGGAATGGGACCATCTATCCTGTGCCTGTCCCACCACTGTATTTTACAAGTACATAACTTGTCTGGTTTCACAGGCTCGCAACTGGAGAGGAATTCTGCCTCAGGATGAACTATACCTCCAATCTCACCATACTTGATTTAGATGATATTTGGGTGAAACTTTGGCTCTTAGACTTCAGTCGATGTTGGAATGAGTTAAGACTTTTGGGGATGTTGAGATGGAATGAATGTATTTTGCATGTCAGAAGGGCATGATTTGGGGGAGCCAGCGGCAGAATGTTATGCACTGAATGTCTGTGTCCCCCCAAGTGCACACATTGAAGCTCTGATTGACAACGTGATGGTATTTGGAGATGAGGCGCTTGAGAGGTATTTAGGGTTAGATGAGATCAAGAGGTTGGGATCCTCTTGATAGCATCTGTTCCCATCCATGTGAGCCACAGAAAGATAGCAGACATCTGCAAGTCAGGAAGGGAGCTCTCACCAGAGACCAGCTCTACTGACACCTGATTGTGGACTTCCAGCCTCTAGAAGTGTGAGAAATCAATTTCTGTCATTTAAGCTACCCAGTCTATGGTATTTTGTTATGGCGCCAGAGCCGACTAAGACAGGTACATTTTCTTATCTATTTCATCCCAGACCGTGTGTTCCCCTTAGTTTATGCTGCACCCACCATGGTGCCCGGAGCCAGGACAAGCATCCAATCACCCTTGACCACACTTGCTTCTAAATATGAAGACACCTATTTATTCTAACAGCAGTTTCATTTTTCATTCTAAGTCTGCACACACTGTGCATCCCAACATCAAAGAGCTCTGGGCACAAAGGGCCAAGGTCGTGGCCCCAGGAGGGGTTTAAAGGAAGTGAGATCTGCCGAGGCTGGTGCCCCGATGTACTTATTTCCAGGTGATGGTGTTTATGAGGAACTAATGAAGAACTGAATTTCTCTTCATTCAGTCTTCTGAGAACTGGTTTGCTATTTTTGCCTAAAAGAAATTCCTGGACCTTCCAACAAGCCCAGTTCCATACTCAGGTATAAAACACCTGCTATGTTGGGTTCTCCCTGGCTTTGTCCCCTGCTTTGCTGGCAGAGAGACAATCCTGAATTGTTGGACTAAGGACTAGGAAGGACTAAGCTCAATCCTACCTAGTGGGCAGTGGACAAGAAGATGACCCCTGGCTTCCTTACCACTGTTGTCCAGGGCACCTGGGGAATCCTGGTGTAGGTCATTGTTATGTAGATGATGAGGAAGAAGACGGTGAGGACCCAGTAAAATACAGCTACAAACATGACCCAGCCAAATGCGGGGACCCGGAAGTACTCAGTTCCAGCGATCAGCGTCCACACCAGCAATCCCAGAACCTGTAAAATGGCAGAGGCAGTTTGAAAGAAAAGGGAGACACAAGGAGAAAGTAAAGAAGGAAGCAGGGACAGAGAAAAAAACAATTATACAGAGTGTCATTTATAGCATTTGTTCATATTTACACATACACGTGACTTATGAATACAAAACAGGAGTTGCAAACTCGCGTGCCCACAAATGCCAGGAAGGTATAAAGGATGAACATGGTAGGCTGAATAGAGATCAGAAAACAAGAAAAACGGTGTCTATTGTAAGGGGCAGTCTCTATTCAGCTCCAGGCAACTGCTGTGGGCCAATCTTTTTCTAAGTAAATTCTAACCCCCAATGTGGGGCTCGAACTCATGACCCCAAGATCAAGAGTCGCATGTTCCACTGACTGGGCCAGGCAGGCTCCCTGGTTGTGTGTCAGTTTTGCTAGATCTTCCTTTTATTTTTTTTCCCCTCAAGAAAACACAGAAAGTCAAGTTTGTACATGACAATCTTGATTTTTGAATGTTAGCACTAATAATGATTTTTAAACTACTACAAGAGGACATTCTACACACACCTGTGGCTGGAATTTACTCACAGGCTGATGCTTGTCAAGGAGCAAGACTGCAGGTCCACTTGAGGTGGTCCATGGAACTGATCTGCTCTCAAGGGATGAACCTCTGAGGACTCCCCACCTGCCACCGCTGCCCCCCTCCCCCCGCAGATGGCAAATAACACGTGGCCTGAGAGAGCCTTCAGAAAGGAGAACACGCAGGGGCCCAGTGCAGACACCGGCATTCAGCATTTTAACATAAGTTGTGCATTTATTCCAGCAAGAGCCATCCAAATCTTCACTGCTGATGAATAAGGCCAAACCCAAAGCCAAATCAATGTCACCAATTGACTAGAGGAAGATTTCCTCAAGGGAAAAGATACTGATCCAAACTGTAGGCATCTTTAGTCCTGAACAAAGGAAGTCCAGAGCAAAGGATGCATCTCGCATTCCAGCATCTTCCAGGGACCAGGACTTTATTCCTAGGTCATGAAACAGTTAGTATCCAAACCATATCCCCAGGAGTCCAGGGCAGGCTCTAGCTGATAAGACTCAGGACAAATAATTCTGTTTTAGCTTTCTTTGTGGCATACGGAACAAATTACTACAGGAATTTTAATCACAAATCTAGGAAGATTGTTTTCACTTATTTGTTTAACCCTTGAGAGCACTAAACTCTGCCAGGCTTCCTGCTATCAGGCCCCAAGGATGGGTGGGGCACACATTGAACAGACCTTGCTGTTCATAACTTAAAGTCTAGTGGGAGGAAATATCTGAATAATTATAATTGTGAAAAATGCTATGAAGGAAAATGAAGGGTATGATATGGGTGTATAATAGAGAGATATACCCTTGTTGCAAGCATGGGAAGTGTCAGGGAAGGCCATGCTGAAGAATACCTTAAGACCCAGTAAGAGCTAGCGAGAGGTAAGCAAGAAGACAGCATGGGCAAAGGTCCAGAGCAGGGAGGGGCTTTGCTGCCCTTCTAGAACCTATAAAAAAGTATACTAAGTTAGGACATTGGTGCAAAATGTTAGAGAGGTGGGCGTGAGTCAGATTATATGGGCCCAGGTGGCCTAAGAATTTTGTACCTTCTCCTAAGGGTGGTGACAGGGTTTGAGCAAGAGAGTGATAGGACCAGGGTAAATTTTTAATACTGTCACCAGCTAGACCCCAAGACCTGACCTTTACTCTTCATCTGCTTGTACCCACTGACCTTTGTCCCATATTTTTCTTAAGCTCTTCTTTCTAGCTTATCTCTTAACTGAGGCAGAAGACCTGACAGGTATAACATCCTGTGATGAAAACTGAAACTAGCCCTCAAGCAACAGCGACTGCCCAGACAAAGAGTTCTGGTGGCCCAGACCCCCCAGATCAGTTTGAACTTAACCCCCACTCACGCCTCTGCAGAGAGACCATGGAGTGAACCAGGGAATGACTGACAGGTACCTTTACCTCATTATAATACTAAATCTCCAGGCACCTGGGTGGCTTCAGTCCATTAAGCGTCTGCCTTCTGCTCAGATCATGATCCCAGGGTCCTGGGATCGAGTCCCACATCGGGCTCCCTGCTCAGCAGGGAGTCTGCTTCTCCCTCTGCCTCTCTCCCCTGCTCATGCTCACTCGCATGCTCTCTCTCTCACAAAAATAATAAAATCTTTAAAAAAAAAAAAAAAAATCTCCGCACAAGCTCCAAGGAGGAGCCCGGCCTCATTTATATAACATACAATGTATGTTCAGGCAGGTTTCTTTAAGGTGCATGCACAGCCTTATGCTCCCCTCTACATGCAATGACAAATCTAAATATTCATCCTAACCCTAAATAAAAGGAACCCCTTCACCCTTGCTCAGGGAGTCACGGCTTTGGGAGTGATTCTCCGTGATCTCATCCACCGTGCAACAACTCCACCTGGTGTGGTTTCCATCGGAGTCTCACCAAGGAGCGACTGCACGTTAGTTTGGTTACAATACCGCTCTGGCTGCTTGGGGAGAATAGGCACGTGGAGGGGAAGAGGGGGTGTGTGGGAGGAGACAAGCTCACAGACTGTCACAATAGTCCCAGTGGGAGAAGATGACGTATTCAAGACCAAGATGGTGGCAGCGAATATTGGGAAGTGAGGCAATTCCAGACACGCTTCCGAAGTGGCCGGGCCAGGACTCGAATAGATTTAGGTTAGGATAGAGTGGAAAGACGTGCAGAGTCTCTGGAAAGATGTATGATGCGTACGAGGGCTGTCACTTCCTCACCTGAACAATGAAACAGGACCAGGTGAAGGGGCTGATCTTTACCACAGCTCCTGAGCTCAGTTTTCAACCTACCCAGCCTGAGGTGGCCAGGAGCCCTCCAGATGGGGATGAGAAGTGGATGCTGCAGGCACAAGAGTGAAGGCCCCTCTTTTAAGAAGGAAGACTTACTGTGAGGTCATGAAGCCCTCAGACAGGTTTCCAAGGGACATTGTACACGGCTCACCGCGAGAAGCCCACCTCTCTGCTACAGTTTGATTGCTGTGCTGGGGAGCACAAAACAGACTCTAAATGTTGCTGCTTCCCCTCTTTATAGAGTTGAAAGTTGCTGTTCTTTTTGTCTGTTTGATATTGTATATAAATTCCAAAGCAATACTTAACGGAGATGTGCTTTTATGCTTACATTCGTGGCAGCAGAATTTATCAAAAGTGAAGATGTACAAAATGAGATAGAATTCCAGAAAGTGCTAAGCCTCACACTAATGGGGTTTGGGGCCTGAATTCATCATAACTGACAGGTAATCTACACACATAGATGTGATACTCATTGGATCAGTGAGACTGGTAGTTAGATGTAACCCAGCATGGTGGGGTCTGAAATAACATCACGGGGTTCTTGATTCAAACTGAAAAGGTCAGAATGGCCCTTTGTTGATGATGCACAGAGGAAACATAACTGCCGTGAAACGTAACACGGCAAACAGGGTTAGGTTGTTTCCCCAGGGGATGCAAGGGTTGAAGTCTCCAGCACGAGCTTGTGTCCCGCTAGACCGGCTCACCTAACAGCTCTTGGCTCTGAATGCGCTTTTCATTATTAAAGCAAGCAGGGTCCACTGTCTAGAGACGCTTTGTCTAATGTGCTAGCAGTGGTCATCTTTTACACACAGGGACAATATCGTTAACTGAGCCATCTCTCAAAGAGCAGGAATACCTGACCCATGACCTCACCAGCAAACACAGTTAAAAGCACGCCCCCGTCAAGAAAAGAATTCTACCCAAGTGAATTTCCTAGGTAACAGAAATAAGAAGCAAGCCTTTTGTCTCTCACTATAACCAATACTGATGAAAATCACTCTACAAAATGTTAGTCATCTCCTGCTGGGTGTGTGTGTGTGTGTGTTTAAGACAAACTCTAGATCTTTATCTGCTTAAGACAAACTTTAAATCTTTATCTGCTTAGACTACAAAAATACTGTTTGTTTTTTTCACTGATGAGCATTTTTTTAGGCTAAGACTTTTTTGAATGGTAAAGCTAAGACTTAAAAAAAATTCCCAAAGTGATAAATGCAGGTAAAAATAAACACAGAAATATAGAAAGTATATAAAAAATACACAAAGAAGCAACAACCTCCATCCACCAGTTGTAAATTCTCAAGAGAAACCAATATAAAAACTTTAAATCTACCTTTCTTAAATTCTTTTCCTTGAATCTGTGACTACCACCTGTACATCCTTTTCTTTCTCTCTTGAAAATATGGATCACGCTGTACATGGTGCTTTATGACTTGCTTCTCTCCATGAACAATATCGTGGGGGACCCCCTTCGCACTACTACACACCGATCTATGCCAATTCTGACAGTTGCCCAGTTTTCTATAATTCATGTAACAAGTTCCCAATTGAGAGAAATTTAAGTTGTCTCCTTTATGCTTATATAAAAATGCCCAGGGAACATTCTTATAATATATACCTGAATCCCAGGAAGGATTCTGAGAGGCAGAATTTCTAGGCTATTTTAAATGTTAGAGGTACTGCCAACTTACTCATCCAAGCCTTGTACTAATTGTACTAAAGCATGCTTTTCTCTTCGATCCTGAGTTCCCATGTTTTAAATAATTTAAAACCTGATTTTAAAAAAAGAGATCTTGGGGCACCTGGCTGGCTCAGTCGGTACAGCATGAGACTCTTTTTTTTTTTTTTTTAAGATTTTATTTATTTATTTGACAGAGAGAGACATAGTGAGAGACGGAACACAAGCAGGGGGAGTAGGAGAGGGAGAAGCAGGCTTCCCCGCGGAGCAGGGAGCCCAATGTGGGGCTCGATCCCAGGGTCCTGGGATCACGACCTGAGCCGAAGGCAGACGCTTAACGACTGAGCCACCCAGGTGCCCCACAGCATGGGACTCTTGATCTTGAGGTCATGAGTTCAAGCCCCATGTTGGGTGTAAAGATGACTTAAAAATAAAATCTTAAAAAGAGAGAGATCTCACATTTACCTTGCCCTGCTTCACCG